ATAAAAATAATTTATTCGTCAGCATATAGACGTGCTTTTTTGGGTTTATCTATATTTTTAATAATGTCATTGATGGCAAGTAGGAATAAACTTGGACTTAGAATAGAACCCTGTGGTATGCCGTTTTCTAGAGTTGTAAAGGGCGAGTAGTCATTTTCAATATTTTTAACTTGAAAACTCCTTCATTCAAAATTTTCCAGATAAAAGGCCCTCTCACTGTCTTAATTTTCACAAATATAGACGTTTGACGATGTTACGTTTCCAAATGGTATCAAAGGCATGTTACACGTCAAAGAAAACCACTTTACATTTTTGTTGGGATGAAAAAGCTTCATTTATACCACTTTCAAGGCCCAAGGTGTTGTCAATAGCAGAGCGATCTTTCTGAATCCACTTTGCTCTGATATGAACAGATTACTTTCTTTCACATGAGTGGACGGTTAACAATTTTATCAAATAGTTTACACATATCGCAGGTTAAAGATATAGGTCAGTAGGTTGCAGGATTGTATTTTGGCTCATTAGTTTTTAGAATAGGGATAATTTTCAAATCTTAAGAAAGGTGTGTTTGGTGCAAGTAAGCGATGACTTAAAGAAGTAAAAAATATTTTCTTTTAATTTATTTAGACAATTAAAGATTATCGCTTTCATTCAGAAAATGTTCGTCCCATATAATATATTTCAGTTGTTCTCGTTCCTCAATAACCATTTTTCTAAGAAATTCGGCATCATAGTTATTGATGACAGAGTGATCTTTATAAATTTCAGCGAATGTAGTCGCTTACTCTGTAATTAAGTGGTTATTAACTGTCAGAACCTTAATTTTTGCTGAGATGTAAGTACCAGAGATTTTTCTTATTTTTCGCCAGACTTGACTAGAGGGTGTTGTGCTGTTGATTTGTGATACAAATTGAACAGAATAGTGACCTGCTATTGGTTTGATTTTTCCAATTTGCTCTTCTGCAATATTTCCAAAATTATTTTACTAAAAGTATGGATCAAGATGTTTATCTATAAAGTTTAAAAACTGATCCCAGTTGGCAGCATTTCTTCTTTATTTATTTAGAGCTATGTCATGAGTCTCTGGTGGTGCATTATTTAGGTCTTTGATTTTGATATGAAAATGATTGCAGTAGTCGAGTATTTCCCTCGTAATATAGTATGAAAATCGGGTTACATAAACTCAAGTCTATACAAGTGGAATCTCCAGCTGCATCGTTGAAACATGTAGGGCTGCCATCATTTAATTTATTTATGGATAGGTGGACAACGATTCTTTCGATCATGTTGCCTCTGTTATCAGAATTTTGTGAATACCATATTAAATTGCGAGCATTGTAGTCATCAAAAATTAAGCGGAAAGTGGGAATTTGATTAATGAGATGACGTATACCGTTATAATCTACTTGACGAAATGTTATTAGGTATAAGCTACAGATATAAAATATGGGCTTAGAAGTGACTTAAATAACTGCTGATTCTAGATGTGTTGCTGTTAATATTATTAGGTTTTCAATAATATCGTCATTTATAATTTTTGCTATGAAGTCAGTTTAGTAAAAATAATTAATATATTTTTATTAGTTTTGAATAATAAAAGTTAATATTTCAGATTTATAAATGCTTACCTATATTAAAAAAGGAAATGCTATGAACTACAGAGATTAAGCTTACTAGCTAAGAATTTGAACTTGTACTAAAATTGATGATATTAACAGTTAGAAGAGGTGGAGCCAAATCGTGTTGTCTATCAGATTTGTAGTTGGTATCTGCGTTCTTTGATGTTTATACTCAGTGATTTATTTTAATAAATCATCATTTATGTAATTGAAATATGATGCTTAATAAAAGAAATATAAGAAATAACGTTATAAATCCACTATAAGATTATAATATTTCATTCATCTATTTATAAAAATCACATATTAAATGAATGTTGTTGAACAAGTGAGTTAATGTTTCATATTTCAAAATATGTACCAGTACGATAAAATAACGGAAATATGAAATTTTAACCAGGGATTTGGATATTTTAAATAAGAGGCTTTGCGTAAAATAGCTTGTTTCCGCAAAAATTCATCATGCAAACCAAACCATTTTAAATTTCAAAATGAATGAACCGTATTTCGGCAACAACTAATGGATTATTGACAGGGTGTCATACGTTGTTTATTAAATATCAATTTTTCATTAAAATGTATTTACAAGTAAATATGGTGTAAAATATATAAAAAACTAAATAAAGTTGAAGACAATAATTGAATTCTAACAATATTAAGTTGGTAGAATAAAAAAAAAAAAAATAGAAAAAGTTTTAATTCATTATTATACAGCACTAAAGAAGCTTTATTTCCGAAATACAGCATGCTCCATAACAAACTAAAAAGTATAAAGGTAATTGTTAATGATCTGTCATAAATATGACAAAAAGGAACACCTATCGAAAAACATCGCAGTTCGGTGTCTGTCCGTCTGTCACAGGCGTTTTGCTTAGAAACTATTTGATGTGCTGAGTAATACTAGTTAATTTGGGTGCTTTAGCACACATATATAGATGTGTAAATGGTTGATAAATATTTGTTCTATTTCTCATATTGCATGAATATATATTTATTTTTCCTACGACCACTTAGGAAAGTGACACATATCACACTATATAGTCCTATGGAAAGTCCCCTATATCACATTCGTATAAATAATAATTTACTTTCCACCCGCGTACGAATATGCTACTTTCCGCAGTAGCTGTCAGAAAATGTCAAACAAATAATTTCTATTTTGATCTATGTAATTTCCATATTAATACTAAAATCGATATGATTGTTAAATTATTGAAATTGTTGTAAATTATATCCTAGATATTTATCTTTAACAATTATTATTAATAGTATATTACATTACGAGTGTGGAAAATCACTTTTCACACAAGTGATGTACAATATTTTTCCTACGACCACAAAATAATGTCATCAAAAAAATGTAAAACGAAGGTTATTATTACTATAATAATTGAAAAGTATTTAAAAAAATAATCAACAATATTCGTATTTATTCAATTTTCATATTTTCTATACAAAAAAAAAACTAAAAAAAAAAAAAAAATAAAAAAGAAAAACAAAAAAAAATTCTGCCCCGCCAGGATTTAAACGCGGTCGAAAAATGGCAAAGTTGAGAAGTTCGACGTCCTAACCACCTGAGCTAATAGCCCTTCTGTCAATTAAATGATCTAATCGGTTATGTATTTAACCAGAATAAAGAGCAAACATTATTTTAAAATTATTTTAATAATAATTGTTAAAGATAAATATCTAGGATTTAATTTACTACAATTTCAATAATTTCACAATCATATCGATTTTAGTATTAATATGGACATTACATAGATCAAAATAGAAATTAGGTGTTTGACATTTTGTGACAACTACTGCGGAAAGTAACAAATTCTCACTCGGGTGGAAAGTAAATTATTATTCATACGCGTGTGATATAGGGCACTTTCCATAGGACTATATAGTGTGATATGTGTCACTTTCCTAAGTGGTCGTAGGAAAAATAATTTTAAAATAACTAAGATATATTTGCTTTTTATTCTGGTTAAACACATAAGCGATTAGATCAATCAATTACCGTAAGGCCTGTTAGCTCAGTTGGTTAGAGCGTCAACTTTGCAATTTGAGACCGTCGATCGACCGCGAATCCTGGCCGTGCCAGAATTTTTTTTTGTTTTTTAATTTTTTTTTATTTGTTTAGAAATTATGAAAATTGAATAAATACGATTATTGTTGATTATTTTTTAAATACATTTTAATTATTATAATAATCTGGTTTTACATTTTTTGATGAAATTATTTTGTGGTCGTAGGAAAAATATTGTACATCACTTGTGTGAAAAGTGATTTTCCCACACTCGCAATGTAATATACTATATATATTAGGAGAACAAATATATAGAAAACATGAATATCTTGGAAAAGCGTCAGCTAAATATCGTATAAACCTCTTTTGGGTTACAAATACTTTTTCGATATCCTTCAACAACAATCTGTTAAAACAGCAACATTTGCGGATGACACTGCAATATTGGCAGTTGGCGGAACTAATACAGAGACCTCAGAAAAACTTCAGGAAACCTGTAACAGAATCAATCGATGGACAAAACAGTGAAAAATAAAAATAAATCAAACTAAATTAGTGCATGTTGATTTTACTCTTCGACCAAATAAACAAAAACAAATAAGAATAAACAATGACGTTATTCCGCATCACGATTCGGCCAAATACCTAGGGATGAACCTAGATGTAAGACTTAAACGGAAAGAGCACATAATAAAAAGCGTAAAGAACTTGAACTTAAATTCAAAAAAATGTATTGGCTCCTAGGAAGAAAATCCAAATTGTCAGTGCACAACAAACTGCTGATTTATAAACAAATCCTAAAACCAATCTGGATTTATGGCATACAGCTATGGGGATGTGCCAGCAAGAGTAATATCAACATGATACAAGTTTTCCAAAATAAAGTCCTAAGAGGGCCGACTTCGCTCCCACGTCAACGAAGAAGCGCTGCAATTATTGGACAACTCTACACTCAACAGAAGGCTCAAAAGAAAGAAGCCATTTGAGCTAGTGCAGTGAACGTTAATGTTAGTGCTAGTGTAAAACAGTGTAATAAATCGTCACGCCAACTTGTGATGCTTTCCTATAGAAACAATTAAGAGAGCTCAATGGGGACTTCTTAGATAAGTAATTAGTTATAAGATTTTTAGATTAAAATTGTAGTTTAGTCAGTAATGACTAGTAACAACACTCTAACAAAAAAAAATACTTTTTCAGCAATCTATCACCCGCCTCATATACAATTATCATACAATAACCTTAAGTGGATATCAGCATAATACATTTAACATAAATTATGGAATTTGAAACATATTTGGCTGCTATACTCTGAGCGAATATAATTGGTCCATCTATTATAATAAAAAATAAAGTTTTCAACTTACTTCCAATGTTGTTTTGTCGACAAATTCTTTATCAATGGAAGATGATCCGTTGGCCCAACGTACAGTAGCTGCTGGACGAGCACCATATACTTTACAGTCCAACTTGACATTTGTACCTTGAACAACGTGATTTTCAACACCTGTCAGATTTATGTCCGTAGGTCTCACTGAAAAAAAAAAGTTTATTACATGTCTGTAAAATTGGTTTTAAATTATTACAGTGAACTTTACGAAAATGAAAAAGGGTTGGAAGGAAGGCTATAAACCGAAATATATTTACGGTTACGGTTTATGTTAGCAAATCGATTACGGTTCGAATCTCGGTTTCGGTTTCTGCTCATATTTGGTGCGGTTCAAACCGGTTTAAATCAATTTATACCGGTTTTAATTTAAATAAGGAATACGTACATTAAACAGTTTTACAATTTTCTTCTCAGAGTATTTTACTACAATTTATTATGCTTATTTAAAATAAACTAAAACAAAGAAGCACAAGAAAAAGAAAATTTTATAAAATTTCATGAAAAAATGTCAAACGGTTTAAGAGCAACCTTAAAAAAATTCATTTAAATTTTTATCTTATACTTTTTTGGGTGCACTTTTGTATATAGGTAAGTACGGTTTAATCGACCTATTTTTGACCCAAGAATACGTGGTATAATTTATGATCAATCTTTTTGAAACACCCTATATATAGTATTTTTTTTAAATTTGTAATACCTTAAAGAGGATATGACACTGTTAAGTGGTTGCCTATATATTTTGTGAAAGAATAGTTCTTTTCTTTTAACTAAATAAACAATTTCCTGTCTTCTACACGGCTCAATTTTTTGTTCATTATATTACCCATATTTTGTCACATACATTTTTTTTGGCGTCTGGTACATAAATACTGTAGAGCAGCAGAACTGCCAAAAAAATGAAAGTATCTCATCTAAATTTCACAGAAATTATTTTATATATTCTAGTATATACGTAAAACAGATGCAATGTATAATATCCAATTTTAATTTAATAATAGTAAGTGTGTGTGCACTGCACCGCTTGGGCCGCTCATGCTCATCGTGTACTTTAGTTGTTTTAGTAGTCTTGATAGGCATAATGCCTGTCTAAAAGATTAATTATCAAGTTTAGCAACAGCGAAATAAAATAAAAAAGGTGTAATGAAAAATTTTAAAGTAGAATTGTTTAATACACTTTTTCTTTATTTTTATTCAAAATACTATTGGAAAGAAAAGATTATTTTATTCGCAGGAATAATCTTATCAAGACTTCTAGAAGAACTAAAGACCAGCGCGGGCGGCCGAAGCAGTTCAATGCACACACATTATTTACTACTTAATAATTAAAATTAAATAAAAATTCATGAGATTATCCATAAAATCCATTTTACGGTTACTTAAGAATGTCTGAAATAATTTATGTAAAACGTAGATAAGTTACTTGCATTTTACTTTCCTATCTGTATACAGATATAAGAAAAGTATAGGAATCATGATTTTTTCGACCTTAAGTTTTCGACGGATTTTTACGTTTTGAGGTCCCCTGAATCCGTTTTGACTATTTTCGCGATGATGTCAGCGTGTGTGTGCGTGCGTGCGTGCGTGCGCGTGTGTGTGTGTGTGTGTGTGTATGTGTGTGCGTGCGTATGTGTGTGCGTGCGTATGTGTGTGTGTCTGTGTGTGTGTCTGTGTCTGTGTGTGTGTCTGTGTCTGTGTGTGTGTCTGTGTGTGTGTCTGTGTGTGTGTCTGTGTCCACCATAACTCATGAACCGATACACACAAAAACACCAAATTTTAAACTTAAGCTTTGTCTCAGCGTCCAATAAGCTTATTAAATTTTGGGCAGAGTCGGAACATCTGGGGGTACTTTACTGGTGGTGATTTTTATATTTTGTTAAATATATCTTTTATTTACGTTTGGGGAAGAAAATTCTTTAAATAAAAGTTACTTCTTATATTATTATCTAAAATTTTTGTTTTACACAAAATTTTCCTAAAATGGTCCGTATTCGAGAAATTTAACAAAATGTAAAAAAATATTTTTTATAAAAATTGTTCAAATAAAAGTTGTTTGTAATATAATTCTCTATAATTTTTATATTATACATTATTTCTTTAAAATGGACCGTATTCGAGATATTAGAGAAAGTGTGTAAATTTCGAATTTGGAGAAAACTCAAAAACGGATAAAGGAAAAAACATATTTTAAACTTAAGTTTTATTTCGGTCTGACGTGAAATGATTAGATTTTGAACAAAGTCGGAACATCTGGGGGGGTACTTTATAAAGGGCCCTTTTTATATTTTATGGAATATATCTGTTATTTATGCTTGGAGGAGAAAATTCTTCAAATAAAAGTTACTGTTAATATTATTATCTATAATTTTTGTTTTATGCCAAAATGGTATTCGAGAAATTTGACAAAATGTGCAAAATTCTGATTTTTATGAAAATTGTTGAACTAAAAGTTGTTTGCGATATCGATCTTTATAATTTTTGTTCATACATGATTTTTCTAAAATGGATTGCCGTTACTGTTTTTATCATTCCTTTGATCATACTATTTCCCTAATATAAACACTGGAAATAGAAATTCTGGTAAAAATAGTCTTGGGGTGTCAATCTGCAACATACTTATTCCACAAAATTCGAATATCGATCTGAATCCATTTGACATGCGACTTGGTAAGTACCTACACAATATGACGTCGAAAGATTAGTAAAAAAAAATATTATTATCAGTCCTGGATTAAGTCCATAGTTCATTCCTGTATCTCATTTAATAACTAAGCTTCTTTATATTTTGGTGTCAACTTCCATGTTGTTTTTTTTGTAAAAATTCAGAAAGTGTACAGTACTTCCGGTGAGTAAGTATAACCAACGTACAGGTATAATTCTAAGTATAAAGTCTTTTATACATAATATTATCTCGTTCTACATGACGATTAAATATATTATTTTCACTAAAAAACTGCTTTCATTACACCGTATTTGCATGCAAGAAATATCCACAATGTTAATAGTCACCGTCCGAAATTTATGCAAAAAAGCGCAAATATAGGTCAACTTGCTTATTTAATTTAAAAAATGCAACCCCCGGCTTAAATGAATTTTTTAAAGAGTTGTCTAGAATTGGAGAGTGTAGTAAACAACAAACTAATTAGGTAATTTTATTTGATATAATGCCGGTAGACTCAGGTCGTACAACTTCAGAATTTTAATTGGATCTTTTGAATTTCATTCTGTAACTTTACTTTTCTCTTTTTTTTTCTATTTTTCGTTTGTATAACAAAAGCGTGTCTTTTTATTATTTTGGAAATATACTTATTTCCGTAAAACATCAAAGATCTATTTTTAAATTCAGGAGTTATAAACATCCCTCAGTTAATGTATTTAACGCAGAGTTTCCATTAAACATTCAGTCCAAGGGACCGTTATTGGACCATCTTGTTTTCAATTTATTTTAAATCTATATCAGTTCCTTCATCATGTGAATATATAGTTGTTTTTTTTTTGGACTGGTCGCTTTTAGTTTGAAGATGGACAATTTTTTCTAATTAAAGCATCGCCACTTTGAATCGAGAAATGGGGTAAACAACTCCTACAATTTAAATTTGGAAATTACCAACGATGACACATGATTAAAAAGGTAATTTGGTGGAGAATTCGGCCCTAAGACGTTGATAACCACTGTTACAAATTGTAAAGTGTAATTATTTTATTACTTACATAATGCGCCGCATAACATTAATTTAAATATATCCATTATTAGTGAGTTGACGGTTGTCGCCAACCTAATGATATTTTATGTTCATAAGGATTGATTATAAATATCTTTAGTTCCGAGATTGTTTTACATGAGATGATTTAACAACACAGTGTAAAATTATAAAAGATGAGCAGTCGTAGCAAATAACCTCTAGAAAATGTTAACTGTCTTAAATATATCATTTTTGAAAGAGTAAAACCAAATTTGGTAGATTTTCACACTTTTATTTTAAAAATAAAAATTTTTAAACAAACACTAACATGACATATGTTTCGAAGTACAACTTCTTTTTCAAATGTGAAAATTTGAAAAAGAAGTTGTACTTCGAAACATATGTCATGTTAGTGTTTGTTTAAAAATTTTTATTTTTAAAATAAAAGTGTGAAAATCTACCAAATTTGGTTTTACTCTTTCAAAATTAAATGGATTTTCATCAAGTAAAGGCCGAAACAATAAATAATTTAAATATATCAAATAAAAAACGCAGTAAAGATTAATTATTACAATGGTTAATAAATAAAAACAAAATAATAATTATATCAGTTATGCAAAAACGAGTAAAATTTTATTTTTTAAAATAATGTATAAAAACTCGTAATATTTTTAAGATATTTTACAGAGACCTGAATAGATGGAGGCCAAACTGAAGAAGAATGACATATCCAAACAAATTTTAAAATGATAGTCAATAAAAATTACTGTGATAAATATACAGATACAAATTTATATAGGTTGAATCCTAAGTTAATACTCTTTTTAAGTGTGCAAAGGTCGTCTTAAAAAAAAACTTCAAAATAAGAAAAATAAATACCAAATCTAAATCTTGGCATGAACTTGTGTACGAAAAATTAAACGAATATTTTAATGTAGTGCTCTGATTTTAGTTAGTAGGCAGTAGTGTATTCATAGGTACATTATAGTAAAGTGGGAATTAAGTGCATTTAGATTAACTAGTAGAGGTTATTCAAGTGCTCATTTTCATCAGCGAAAATAAAAATCTCAAAATAAGTTACATAAAAAGTTTTTATAAACTAAAAGTTAACAAAGGCAATTGGTTTCGGCTCGTGAGCCATCTTCAGGCCCAAAAGAAAGATACGTAAGGTTTAGATAAAATACAAAATTGCAAGTTGGTAATATAGATTAAAATAAATTAACTTAAACATATAGATTAGGGTCAGGACGATGATCATTAGAAGTAGTAGTTAAAATAATTAATATAATATAATTAAAATACATCATGAAACAAATACTTCAAAAAGGTTGCTGGTATTGAAGAACAATTGTAAAGATTTAAGTGAGAGTGACCATCATGTTTTTGTGGTCAACACAATGAACGGGAACAGGCGAAACAGAAGATTAGGATTAAATGAATAGCCGGACTATTCTGATAACGAAA